GTTTTGCACTAGCTTTCAGCTGTAAGTATATATCATTCGTGAGGGATGGCCTAAACCTTGGCAAGAATGGTTACACGGTCAACGTGAGCGCCATCATCTCGGCCATCGACCCGAACAAATGCGACACACCCCTGCTGGATTGGTGCCTTCGGAAAGGGCACTGGTTGCCAGAGGACTACAACAAGAAGTGTGTCCTGGCACGAGAAGCCCAGAAGAACTTGGACGAGGAGTTCCGTCGACGCACTCACAGACTGTCCATTGGGGACCGGTATGCGTAGTGAAGATGTTGATTGCGGCACGATGTGGGTTAGTCCCCATCTGTTGCTTGCGTCTCATCAACACCATTGAGACGGAACGACTCTACATTATGATATGATTTCATATATCCAAGTTGAATGGATGTGTACATGGTTACATATTCCGATGACTATGACGCTCTGGATATTCATGGATGGAACTATTACCTTATAGATGATATCTTTTCATTATTTATGCATTGTCCATGGTATCTGGAATGGCTATGATTTGCATTGATTACTCACCGATGTTTCTTTGCCGGAAATATGCAGACCGATTACAAGCGGGCGCCTCTGGTGGACTTTTGCGGCCAACCCATTTATGGATGACAGCTGCGCGATGCGCAAATGCGGCAGCTGGAATGTTCACTGGCGGTCAAGTGAAGTGGCCACAGTGTATTATATACACCTGCATATGGATGTGTGCTTCGATTGGAGGATGAATGTTTCACTTTTCGTACAATCGAACCCGGGGGCGGCGGATGGGGTGACGGGCGCGGGGGCGGCTGGCGGGGGCGGCTGGCGCGGGCGTAGGTGCGCGGGGGGGACTTATTCTATTATATCAGATTAAAAATAGAAAGTCAACGACACGATTTCGTAGTTGAAGCCGTGGCCAGTGGAACGTTTTGTGTGTTTGGACCGCATGATGAACAATGCGACCCAAATGGGGGATGTTAAAACCCTCTAGGCCCCGTGCCGAAATTGGGTAGCTGTTCTGAGGTCCTTGTTGGTGTTGCTTCCCAAGTTCCATTGATCGCCATTTGGCTCAAGACACAATTGAGGTTCAAGATCTGATGTGTGACTGCAGACCCTACGTGATCGGCATTAAGAGCACCGAAAACAACTGCTTGCGCTGCATTTGTCAGGACCACTGTTGTAAATATCATTCCTTCTTCCTTACAACGTTTACACGGGTTCGGCTATAACGGCATCGTCCGTATACACCTTTCTACGTGGTTGGTATTAAAGCTTGAGGGTTCGGTGCACAGCGTCCCACCGGACGTCACCTTGCCGTCTCTTGACACTCGGAATCTTTCTTCTGCTGCCACTTCCTTGCCAGGACCTGGGCCTCTGCCCAAGCCACTGCGACAAGCCCTGGCATAACTCGCTCACTCAGTGGCAAATCGTCGGCACTCCCCACGTAGAACTTCATCCCGAAGCCAAACTTCTGTGATTGTCCAAGGCCTTTCACCACAAAGCTTGAGTTGTCCAGTTTAACCATAATCTTGCAGCATCCTGCAGGCTTGACCGTGTAGGAATGGTTGCCAACAGGCGGTGTCTCAGGCATGGCATCCGCAGGTAAATGGAGGAGCGTGGGGTAATACTTAGCAAGTTGGACCAGTATGACAAACTGCGCTCGCGCAGTTTGTTTTGAGGCGAAAGCAGCCAGCGCCAGTGCCTGAGGCAAACCTGGTCCAGCTGTATCTCTTTTCCATTGGCATGGGGCAATGCCGGAAAAAAAGAGAGCAGCTGCGCGTTCACGGCCTTTTGCTTCTTGCTTATCGGCTGCTAAGGTGGCCAACGATTGTAACCAGTAGGCTGCCAAGTTCCCCTGCTGCATGTTTCTGCCCAAGCGGATCCCGCCCCTTCCCTCTTGACTTTCTTCTTTGGGGTCCTTTTGGCCATGCAGCAACGCAAGTCAAGTTCAAGCCACCTTGGAGTAAGAGCGCATCCCAAAATTCTTCCCCCCCTCCCCCCTCCCCCCCTCCCTCCCCAAGATTTTCGGCAAAAAAAACACTTCCGAAAAACGGATTGTTTTGACAAAGAACGCGCACGCGAAAAAACAAGGTTTTCGGTCCAAAAAAAGCACCAAACAAAAAGGCATAAAAAGCATGTCCTTAATGACCGGCCAGACTGGGAGCAGGACGCCGTGGACATGAGGACGTTGTTGCAGATCGCCAGCGGCTGGGCGAATGCCTGCAGCGAAACGAGCCTGTGGGCACGGAGGCACGATGAGAAAAAGATTCCCTTGTGGTGGCTGCCGCGACGGCTGGTGCAGACGTACTGTCGGGAGGATCATCGGGTGCGCAGGCACGCCGGCTACTTGGCGAGAGAGTTCGATGGAACCTTTGTCGACGATGGCCAGCAGTATGCATAGTTTTGCAACTTTGCCTCTACGCAATCTGTGAATCTTTTTTGAGAATACATCAAGCCGTGCCACCGCGCCGATGTTTGGCGCTACCTGCATATGTACCGCCGCGGTGGAGTATACCTGGACTTCAAGTGCGGATTGCTTCAGCCGCTCTGGAGGTGGCTTCTCGAGCTACAAAACGCTTGCATGCAGCATGAGCTGGGCCGCCAGGGCGAAGCCCGGGCAGGAGATGCAGGTGTTGCGCCTTAGTGAGGCCGGCCGGGTTTCTAATCTTGTGTGTTGCAAATAGCGTTTCGAGCGGGGGTGACTATTTTTCATTGCTCGTGAGGAGCGCCTGGCTCGCGTGGACACAGTGGCGCGCAAGGTGATGGAGCTCTACACGAATCAGAAGGGCAAGGACAAGACGGAGTACAACGATCTGCAGGTGCAGTGCCTGGTGGGCCAGGGGCTGGTGTTTCCGCAGGCCTACGATGCCCTGACATGCGTATGGTGCCGCAAGCAAGAGAAGCTCTTCAGGCTTCAGTCGCTGGCGGCAGTGTTTCAGCACTTCGAGAGCCAGAGTCACGTCAGGTCACAGGACGACGGCGGAGTCACTCACACGCATCCCGCCCCGCAAGAGCAGCAGCCGCAGGTGGAGCAGGAGCAGGAGCCGACAGACGAGGAGCCAGTCAACGACCCGGCGAGCTCCGGTCTGGAGTGGTCGAGCGACAAGCATCTCCCCACCAGTGATGAGCTCATAGAACTCTCCAAGGAGCAACAGGAAGCAATTTTGGGTGGATCGGGCGATTTGTCCTTCAATATGTCTCCGTGGATTCGAGCTCTCGTCAGCATTGTGTACGACTTCAACGAGGGGCTGCCGCAGTACTGTGCAGAGCAAGTCCTCGTTCTTTCGAACTGCGCGCCTGCAGAGTTTCAGCAGACCCTTCAGCACCAAACCACCAAGCAAGGCACGTCATGGCGTGATTTTATTTGCAGCCTCCAGAAAACCACTCCCGTCACCAAGAATCCGGTCCTCTTGAAGTTTCGTGGAAAGCGTGTGGAGGAGGAGGTGCTGTCAAGCCAGTCCAAGCTGTTGGGGATTGGCTACTCGTTGCTGGGAGCGGCGCTGGACGCATGGGCGGGCCACGACAGCAAGTTCTGGGAAGCGTCGGACGTTTTCCTCATGATCGCCAATTGCCAGGCTATCAAGCGAGAGCAATCTCTACGCAAGGATGCGCCGTTTCCGGACAGCAAGTTTCGGATCTTGCGCAAGATGGTTGACGGCGAAGAGGTGTTGGCCTTCCGCGTGGTTCCCACTGCTGCCCGGCAGTTCGACAACCCGACCGTTAGCCAGTACTATAACGGCAATAGTGTGAAGTTGCATCGAGCGGTGGTGCAGTCGCAGAGCAGTCACAACCCGCAGCAGCAGCCAGCCAAGAGACAAAGACAGGGTTTTCCCGTGGAGCCATGGTCTTGTCTGCCTGCTTGGCGCTCCGGCTGGCATTATGGCTGGCACAGCGGGGATCACTCCGAGTGGGAAGCCGGGTGGCAAGACAGACAGCACTCCGGGTGGGAGAGCGGGTGGCAGAATCGCTGAGAGCCCGACGTCAGGTCCAAGGCCAGACGCGTGTCTAGGTTGTCTAGCTGGCTTCCAAGGCGGTCTGCGCGTTGATGCTTCCATGGCTGAAAATTGGCCGTGTCCGTGACCCCAGAATTAGGGTCACATTGCGTGCCCTGCTTGTAAGAGCATGGAGTGTTCACCAATAGTACCAGAACCACCCACGTTTTTGTGTTGAAGTGTGGTAATGGGCTTGGCGGTGCAGGGGGCAAGGATGTTGCAAGTTGGTTGCCGCTGCTGGCTTCTGAGCTTGTTTGCTGCTGAGCAAGCTCGTGGAGAAGATTTTGCGTTTTTGAAGGTGAGTTCGTTTGTTGTGGCTGGTTTCAAAAAACATGATGCTCTGCATGTGGACTATTGGGAAACTACAAGCTTGCTAGTGAGTGTGCGCATTTGCCAAGTTGTGCCCAGGAATCCTTCTGTGGACACTTAGCAAACTGGACTTTGGTTTGCGTAGGTGTCGGGGTAGTGAATGCTTGTTGTCAATCAAATTAATGTTTGTCTGGAGCTGGCGGCTGCGAGGGTCTGGGGGGAGTCTCGGGGTTTTCCATCCAGAATAGGTTTTTGCTTCTTGCATTGTTTGAATTCGGGTACCTGCAAGTAAACTCAATCTTTTCATTGCAGAGAGATCCAAGCTGTGAATTCAATTGCATGTAGCTGTTGTTGACGCCCAGTTTGACATGTTGCATTGGGCTGATGTGAGTGACATTTAGGATGAATGGGTGTCTCGCGCATGATCTTCAAAGGCGTTTGTCTGAGTGCAGATCAGATCGATTGAATAATACATCGTACGTATTTCGTGTTTTGACCTGCATTGACGACAGCCAAACTGTTCGCCATAGCACCTTGGCTCCGAAGTGCCATCGGGCAGATTTGTCCATTATCGCATCCACTGGAGTTAAGGGACGTGCATCGAAGGGCACTGTCCAGCCAACACAGACGCACTCAAAAAAAAACATATGCACTTGAATAAACGCTTCCCTTCTTTGTGAAGATGCAACCACAGACACAGGCTTAGCTTCATATTCCGGTTAGTGCTGCCATGGCATGTGACCGAAAATATGGAATGCACGATTGCAAAGTGCCATTCCGCTTCATCCTTTTGCAGCCTGGCTCTTATCACTGTGGAAATTCGATACATTGTGTTTAGTGAGCAATGTGCATGTTTGGGACTAGTTCGGCGCATGGGACAAGGGACGCGTGACATGCTCAGGCTGCTGATCAGATTTCGATTGCCAGCCGCATGGGTTTTGAGCAGTGAAGGCGTAGGGCTGGGAATCCAGAAGTTGGGCCGATCCACGGTTTCGGCCGCGTTTGTGGCTCAGACAGTGTCGCATGGGTCTCTGCCATGGGCATCAGTTTTAGTTGAAGGAGCAGCCGAACTGAGTTTGGATGTAGACAACGTTCTGCTGAATCTCATGTTGAGCAGGTATTGTGTTCATGAGATTTCCGGAGGCTCAAAAGACAGTGCGCGCCAGGTGACAGCTGTGACACGGCATGTACGGGATTGGGAAAGACTTGCGACGCGAGCCGAATGAATCTGGTGACATCAGAGTATCAAATGACTTATGCCTCTCGGCTTATGACCGAAAGTCCCCTTGGCTCAGTGCGACTGCGGTATTGGTTCGCTGCTCCGAGCTAGACACCAAACGTATATAATATTGAGTTAATGCAATTGTTTGAACCAGTTTTCTTCCATGAACAACGAGCATTGTGACATCCTCATTCCTCATTTGGCGCATTGTTGCATGAGGGTACGTTGCCGAGGCTATTGCCCAGGGTGGGTTGACAGCCTGTGACTTCTACACCGTAGATGCGGACAGCTACGCCCCTTGCCTTTTGCAGTTGGTGTGGGACACCAAAGAGTCGCCTCCCACCTACGAGGTCCCTTTGCGAAGCTGAGTTTTGTGCCTGGCAAATGGTTTGCGACTTGTGCACTTGTCAAATTGTTTTGTCTTTCCCAAAAGGCTCTGTTTGGCATTTCATGTGCTGCTTGTCGTGCCCGCATGACAGTCATCCGGCACCAAGAGGGCTTGGAGGCTTGACTTTTGGCAAGGCTGGTGGTGCTGCCGTGCTTTGTATGTCGAAGACCCAAACTTGAGTACATGCGTACCAATTATGTAACACTGGGATTTGGACTATGAAGCGTTCGGTGTTTTCTGTTGTTTCAGACTCACCTGAGGCCTGCAAGTTTGAAGGGTGGACGCAGTTGAACCCTGATACCCAGTGTGAGAGACGCTTGCGCCTTTGGACAGTCTTGCAACCCTACAGACAAGTGCAAGCGGGGGAACTAGAAACAAGGCCCTAGGTGTTTCTGCTCGAATTTCGCGATTCCTATGACCGGAGACACTACAAACAACAATCGTCGCATTGTGCGTGCCTCCGCAAAGCTCTAGCTGGGGGTGCTATGTGGCCTAGTAGGAAGTGACTGGTGGCGCCAAGGCCACAGCGCAGCCTTACAAGCTCGTCATCGATTCAAGAGCCTCGTCACTGAGACCTATGCAGCTACTGCTCAAACGTTTGGCCACGGCTTTCCTTGCGGTTTGCTCGGAAGTAGTCCGTCTTTGGGGCCCAGCGTGGCCAAAATCGAGCTCTTTTATTTGGAGGCCACATGATCTGGCGGCAGGCACTGGTTTTCACGGCTGAACACGCCGGATTAAAATTCCCCAAGCGGTAAAACGGCAAGCAGTACTGGGAGCTCGCGTGTGTGTGATTGCGCGTTGAAGTGATTGTGCCTGTTCGAATAGTCAGAGTGTGTGTGTGTGTGTGTGTGTGTGTGTGTTCGTGCCTTTGCGCTACAGTTTGGTTTGAGCTTGTGCCTCTGACAACTAGGTACATTTCCATTTCCATGTTCGCCCTCCGAGTGTCGCCAGGCAATTGCTTGACAGTAGGTTTTGCCTTGGATCCTGATCAGATTGCAGTGGGTCGGTCTTGCCCGTCTTCTCGCGCTGAGACTCCCAGCTGCCGACTTTCTGCTTCCCTGGAACGGCGACCAGCGATTGCACGATTGGCGCCACGGCCACGGGCAATGGGGCTGTCCACTGCCATGGGGCATTTTCTTGTTTAGTCAAAGGGCTGGTTCTTAGCAGTTGAAAGCGGCGATATCGGTTGCGAGGCGTGAAGCTCAAGAGCAAGGAAGCTTTTACCTTTGCGCCTTCCAACAGTCTGGGCATAGGGGTGAAGCTTTGTCACAGTCAAAAAAATCATCCCTGAGTACATAGTCCTGAAGCCAGAAGGTCCTGACTGGTTTGCAATGACTTGTGAGCAATTTGCAGGAAGTGTTTCAAGTACGGAGCAACTTAAGCTGCTCACAGATGGTTGCGGTCATTGACTTGATGTCAGTTCGTCAAATGACACGGACAGACCTGAGACAACGTCAATGCAATTTCAGCATTCACATTCAAAGTAGCATATATCCGGAGTTGCAACACCAAAATTAATTTCCTGTCAATAGATTAGTTGTCAACATTGGCGCTTTTGGACAGACATGAGCAAGCAGCCAAGCTCTGAAATCATTGCGGCCTGCTCGATTGCTTTCCTCTCCACTCTGAGGTGTGCAGTACTTGTCCCGTGTCTTGGCTACTGGAGGGACGGCTTCATTGAAAAGCGTGCCAATGAATGCTCACGTCTGAACGCTTTGTAGATTCAAAGTCTGTACACCTGCTTGGGAGATTGCGTTTCTCGTTTTGTGTTTGTTTCCTCAGCAGCTGGAGAAAGACGTGCTGACTCAGGATTATGCTGCTGTATCGCCGGGGGCGATGATTCCGCTGTTGCAGCTCAGCTCATTTGGTTGGCTTGCAAGCATGGACTATTTTTGACACACAAGAACCAATTCTTGACTGAGCCAAGTCTTGCAGTGCATTCTATGTTGCCGCAGCTTTTGAGGGTAAGTTATGCTAGACAAACTTGGACTTCTGCCATTTGCACTGCAGAGCCTCATTTGCCCTTCTCGCACTTCAGAGCTTCTCTTGCTTGGGTTGGGCTGCTGGTTCTGGGGATTCGCCTGCGGCGTCTTCATCACCGCCCTGATCCTCAGCCCTTCTCTACGATTGTTCCTGCTCTGGCTTCTTCAACTCACTGTTGGCAACCTGGACGCCGGCCCTGCCCTGGCGTGCACCGGCTTCAGCGATGCTTGCATTAACGTGAGGGCTGGGCTGTTTCCTTTGCGCAGCTCGACAAGCGCAGCTCTGGCCAAGCCCGGCTCAGAAAGCGCTTGCTGTGGTTGGCTTGCTTCTACACGGGAATGGCTGCAACTGCAGGATGGGACATCGTCAGTGCCGATCAAGGGCGGGGGTGCACCAAAGCGTACTTCATCGCCGAGGATGTCTGCAGTCGAGCAATGGTCGTCAAGATGGCTCCGTCCGGGTTTCTTCTGGCAGTGCCCTACGGGGTTTTGCGAAGAAGAGATGCAGGCTGCCGAGGAAGCGCATTTCTCTGGGGGTCTGGGCCTTTTCACCGACATGGTGGTTCCTTGCGAAACAAAAGATGGAAAGCCAGGGCGCCGAACCCTTCGCGTTGTCCTCGCCGACAACAACTCTTTTGCAGCCGCCCGGGTCACCGCCGAGCTTCCCGACGGGGTGGATCTCGAATCAGTCATCGACTTTGGCTTTAACCGAGGGGCCGCTCTTTGGCCTCATCCTGGCAAGTTGGTCGAAGCTGCCACTCAGTTTTGCCACTGTCTCAGCTGCTGTCCCAAGCCAAGGTCACCCAACGTCTAGTCACCGGGCTGCAGGACCGTTTGGGTTGCTTGGACAAGATCGGACAGAGGCTGAGTGCAGTGAAAGCTCTGACAAAGCCGCTCCAGCGCCGGCTGCGAAATCCCACGCGGCTGTGTCTCCACAGATGTACGCAGATAGCAAACAAGTCGGGTTACAGCTGGTCAACTGTACTCGTAAGCGTCTCCGGGAACAAGTTCGCCTGAAGACCCTTTGCGCCGGGCGGTGGCAAGCCTGGACCGCACCGCCTCGTAGACCTTGTCGGGCTGATGCCGGAACTGCTCTGCCAACATCTGTCGAGCGAAGCTGAGCGAGTGAAAGGATCGCTCTCGCCCAGTTTGGGAAGCACCCTGGCTTGGCGGGCTGGTTTCATTTGACATATCCGAGCAGCCTGCTGAGTCGGTAATGTATGACCTTCAGCCGTACCGGCGCCTTTTTGCGCGGGGGTGTCGGAGCATCCAGTTTTGTTTCTGTTCATTTGGGGCTCTGCGACAGGGACGAGCTGCTCTGTCTGGCAGGCGCTTGCAGTTGCCCCCGGCGTGGAGCCCACTTTGCAGTTGAAGGGAGGTTTACATATGACAAGCTTTCCCCTTTTCCTTTCGCAATGCACCCCCAGCTGTGAAGAAGTTTTTGGGAAGAGCCCTGCTATTGGCGGATCTATTGCGGCTTTTTCTGGAAGGTACCCCTGACTTTATGCCGGGGGATTGTCGCTAGACGTTTACCTTGCTTGAAGACAACGCGCCTCAGTTGCACATAGCGCGTCCTGCTGAAATTCCTCCTTTCTGGATCCGCCGCTCTCTGGCCTGGAAAAAGACTTTGCAATACAGATTCAAGCAATTAAACCATATCAACATCAATGAGGAGCTTGCGCTCAGGAGTTTGCTAACGCATACTGCTAAGATGTACTCATCTTCCAGGTTTGGAGTTGTTATCGGCTGCAACGCAAAAGGCAGATCAAGCTTTTGCAGGTTGAACTACCATTTGGGTAGCGTGTTGCCTTATTTGAGTGGTGGTGATATCTACCCCCATTTCATTCATGTGAGCAGCCCTGACAACCCTGCTGATGATGTTTCTAGATATGTTGCACTTAGATCCCCTACCCATGCAGGTGGGACGCGCTGCTCTCTGGCAACGCGCGGCTTTTCAACGTTGCGCTGAGAGCGGACAGTTTGAGTGGCCATATTCGGGCCCGGCTGTTGCTCCAACTGCGTTCTCGTGGCAAGACTCGACAACACGAAGTGTGAGCTATGCTGCAGTCCTCACGGTTCTCAGCAGCTAGCCGCACTTGCGTGAGTCTGGACCCTGGCTCGAACTTGGCTGCGGCAACCTGCTTTCGCAGGAACAAGTTCTTTGACCAACTTGTGTCTTGGACTGAACAGTCTCTTTGTTGCAGGTTCGATCAAATTGCTTCAGCTGCTACACTCCTCGTCCCTTGCCTGATTGGGTATGGTAAGCATCTTTTTTTACGACGGCCGCAGCAAGTACGATTTAGCCGAAACCATCAACGCGGTGGTCGATCGCTACCCGCTGTACCGTGCTCTCCTTGGGGTTGTTGGGAGCATGCTGAGCCGCTGGGAGGAGAGCGAGCCGGTCAGGCGTGCCATGGTCTTGCCACAGTCGATTTTGAAAGCGGCGGTTGCTGTTGCACTGGTATGGAAATGGCGAAAAATGGCAGCCGCAATGCTTCTCGGTTTCCACGCCCTCCTGCGACCCAGCAAGTTCTTGCACATCCAGCGGAGGCGTCTGGTTCTGCCTGCTGACGTTTTATCAACCGATCCAGTATGTTACATTGCTTTGCTGAACACCAAGACCAAGCGGTTTGTGCACCGACAACACGCTCGTATCACTGACGAAGTCACTGTGGCCTTTCTCGCTGCGCTTTTCGGAGCCTTTGAGGCCCCCCTTTTTGGCGCAAGCCCTTCTGTTTTCAGGGCTAGGTGGAACGCAATTTTCAAGGCGCTTCACTTGCCCACTGACGAAGCGAACAATGGGATCACCCCAAAGAGCCTGCGAGGCAGTGGAGCCTCGTGGTTGTTTCGCACAACAGAAGATCTTTCTAGTGTGCTGTGGCGCGGATGCTGGGCGTCTCGCCGCACGCTCAAACACTATTTGCAAGATACCATGGGGCAGAGCCCCCTGGCCAATCTTCCTCAATCCATCAGAGCCACTATTCTGAATCTATTTGTTTGCAGCTATGCCTTGCTGCAAGCAGAAATAGCCTCGTCTCGCTGCACAGCGGACGAGCACGTTTTGAGGGTTGGTTGATATCTTTTCAGCCACTCTCATGTACGGCGTAGCCGCCACGAAGTGGCCCTTGAGACGACTGTGTCTTTGCAAAGCTTTGCATTTGAAGCTCGCCTTCAGCTCGTTCTGCATGTGAATACACGTTGGCAACAGTGCGAAAAGCTGCCAGACTTGTATTTGTTTTTAAGAGAGCATGGAGTGGGACTCAATTCGCGTCGAATGATATTGCTTGTCATGTCAAGGGCACCCAGAAGGACATTGTTTCAAGGATTGCATCGTAGTTTTGTTTCGAGCGGCGAGCGAGAAACTGCTTTCGCTGCAAAGGTGTGCCCTGTTCCCACAACGACGTCAACCACTCAAACCACCACTTCGCAGACCACGACTTCACAGACCGTCACCACATCAACGGCGACCACAGCTGCTTTGCAGGAGTTTTTCGATTGGGGACTTCGCAAAGAAAAGGTGCCCTTCATAGTGGCCATGACTCGTTTTTCCGTTTGCGTTTGCTTCGGCGCTTTGACTTTGATGGTTTGGTTTCGGTGCTTTCGCTTTGGCGGGTCACTGCCGGTGCCCATCACTGCTGCTGCTGCTGCTGCTGCTGCTGCTGCTGCTGCTGCTGCTGCTGCTGCTGCTGCTGCTGCTGCTGCTGCTGGTTTTTCCAAACGTTTGCAGCCACTGAGGTTTCCATCACCACCACCACCCTGACAACCACTACGATCAGTACAACAACGGTCACTACAGAAACAGACACAACGACCACTCAGACGCAGACCACTCAGACAACCACTTCTGAGACTGTCAGTACCACAACATTTGAGACCTCGACAGTCACTGTCACTACGTGCCTTGGAAGAATTGGATCAGGAAGCTCAGGCTCCCAATGTGGCATAATTGTCGCGTTTTCGATCTTACTGTTTTGTTTGGATCGCCGCGACGTTCGCGCTCTCTTGCTCTCTGGAGCAGTCAAGTTTCACACCCGAGAGCCTTATGATATCATGGTCCGAAGCGGGGCAACCCAAATAGGGCAACGCTTTCATTCTCCGCAAGTATTTTATGAACGTCTGAAAGAAGCAGCACTTCTGGTAAAAAACAGTTCATGATCAGCATCTTGCCGCTGCTCATGCTGACCCTAAGGCAGACAACCACCAGCGCTGCTTGGCAGAAGTTGAAGGAATGTGACTGCTGATGTATTTCTCGCTTGCACAAATGCTTTTTTTTTTGGGTGGACAATTGGCGTGTTTCCTGACCTCCGCAAAATGAGCTTGCCCCTTTGGATGTTCCTTGAAGACATCCACCACAAACGGTAGCCTCAAAATCACACGCTTTGAGGAACTACAGAGTCAGGGAATGCTGTCTTTGCAGCTTCAAGGGCTCCAACAAAGCAGTGCATGCTCCAAAACAGGGACTTGTTAAGGTGGTTTCACGGCTTTCAACTCCATGATGGTTTGCGTGGTGGTTGGAAATCGGAGCCGGCCCACTTAGCCGCCATCCAGGATGCAGACAAAGCGGAGTTCGGATGTGGCTGGATCTAAGGCCACTTTCACCAGCAGCACCGCCACAACCATCACCACCACGAGCAGCACTGTGACAACCACGTTGCTGGCATCTGCCGTGTTGGTTGCTGACGCAGCACGGCTATGTGAGAAAGCTTTTGGGCACCTGACAGGTTCATCGGGATGGAGCAAAAACATGATATCGCGGCAGCTACAGTAACCACACAAGCGTAAGGATGTGTTTTTGTGAAGTTTGTTTGAGACAGGTTTTTCGTGTGAATCTTAAGCCGGGGACAGAAGGCATCGTGGTGATTGGGGTGCTTTTCACAGAGTTCATTTGTTTGCAACTCAAACCTTGCTTTTATACAACTTCTTTGGAAGCTCGACTCTGATGGTGGCTCGCCGGGTGCACAGCTTACAGAGAGGCTCCTTACTGCTTGTGGGTGATGCAATGTGATGCGGGTGATGCTGGCAAGGCGTGGAATGAATCAGACTGCTATCGATGCCGGCACTTGTTACTATGATGTTGCTGCTAGCATCAACATACTTCTGCACGCCAAGGGTAAAACTAGGAATGGCAACACATTTCTGTCACCAGTATCAGCATCATGACATGCGAATGGCCCAAGCACGTCGGTGCTTTGGTGAACAGAAATAGGTAGCCCGCGGCGACACCGTGATCGTTATAGACAGCGCTGTCGGCTTCTCCTTGAATGACATCGCTCAGCTGAAAGGGGCCTTTGGCGTCACCGACTATGCCACTTGGCACGTGTGCAGATTCTGAGACCGGGATAGATGAACCAAGGCCCCCAGAAAAGATTCACCAGTTGCGCTGACCCCTTTTTGCAATTTCGGTTTCTCCAGCAGTGCCTGCCAGATATCAAGACTAAACAGATCAATGATGACCGCATTTGGGAGCATTTCAAGCGCAACCTGTGGTGTGTTGCGAAAGACGACTTGCCCGGGGAAGTACGGCTTGGAAGCTGAGCAAAAGACAAAAGGCAGCGAGAGACAAAGAAATGCGACAGAGCCTAACTTGGAGAGTCGTTTGAGAGTCGATCTGTCAGGTCGAGATCATCTCCAAGGGCACCACCACCATTGGCTCCAGGCAGGAAAATCAGTCAAGCCACCTGGAAGTCTGGAAGAGGGAAGCTTGTGGATGCCCAACTGAGTTGTGATGGCCCTTTGCCGTTTTTGTGACAAAGTACTTGTTGTGCTGAGTGTTTTCAGCACGCTCATTTGTCTTTCCTGTAGGCGCCTGGCTGTCTACGACACCCTTACAGCATCTTGGAGATGTTGGGCTGCGGAGAGTGTCCAAGTTTCCAAATGCTGTTGGCCCAACAGGGTCATGAATTCTCAAGGCGATTCCATTGGTTCAGTGCAAATCCTCTGAGATTGGTCGAAAGGCGCCGGAGTTCGGGCGACTGGTTGGTTGCATTTTGGTTTCCCTTCAAGCCCCAAGCAAACGGGGATTCCGAATTTTGGCACACCCCCTCCAGGCGAAAGAATGTGTGACCATGGCACAAGACAGGCATTCAAAGCTTAACTGCTGCATGTTTTTGTTGTTGGAAACTAATAACCTAACGACACTGCTTGCATTTCTTATTTCTCATTCACAGTCCCCAATCTGCTCTAGCGGTGTTCTCAAGGCTCTCTAGTGCATTGGTCCAAGGTGAGCCCACCAGTGGAGAATGACTACGTAGCAGGCTGGACGCAATACGCAAGCAAGCATCATCTTGGGCTGTGGACTCGTTTAGCCTCATGCGCTGGCTCTGCCATGGAGAGGCGGTTTGCTGAGGGTCACGCACACGTTGCAAGGTGATGCTGTGGTGAACAGAGGGCCTGCTGCTTTCTTCACTGGAGGTGATCCTGTCACCTATTTTGGCTGCTTGGAGTGATTTGGTCGCTGCCTACTTCTTCTTTGGATATTTCCTTCTACTGCTGTACAGCAGATAACTGTCAGGATCATGGCAGGTGTGAACTTTCGCTGGATGGGTGGCTGACAGATGCATAAGATATGTTTGGATGGATGGCTGAACAGCTGGACGGATTGGTGTGTGTGTGTGTGGGTGGGTGGGTGGGTGGGTGGGTGGGTGGGTGGGTGGGTGCATGGGTGACCACTGTTGACGAGTTTGCTGGCATCAGTGCATGGATGAGCTTGATTGATACACAGATGGCTAGGGTCAGAGCACCCATGCAGGGAACTTTTGCATGATATTATATATGATATATGGCTCTCAGCTTTCTTGACTGATTGAGCCATTGAATTGTCTGAGCTTGCACCCCACTAGAGCGCGCACAAGAGCGCAGATATTCAAACCCTCAGTTCCAGAGGCTGTAATGAGAAATACCCTCACAAATGGTGGGCATAAAACTTCATGCAGATGTTGGGGTCCATTTCCAACAAACAAGTTTTTGATCATAGAGGGATCTGAATTATTCCGAGTTCTTTTGAGATACGGGAATCAAAGGGGTCATGTTGGGGTCCAAGTATCCATTGTAACACATATATCGTCTTTGGGCATGACCATTAACCGAGTAAAAAAATCCCGGGGAATTTCCATTTCCAATCCGAGTCTTTCTGCAGCTCCATTTCCAAAGGCCTTCCGAACTCGGTTCCCGCCCAGGGGGCCAGAAGTGGAAGTTCTGGATGCCGCTGCACGAGGAGCTGCTGCTGCTGGCGACGCCAGCTGCTCGCTTTAAGACATTCTGGCGGGGGGGGGGACCGCATGGCTCCAAATGGAACCCGGGCACCTGCTAGATGGGTGCTTTCGCTTGGGTTTCCCTTTACAGCAATTCCGTGGCAGAACCTGCGCACCCATGCAAGGTGTAGTTTTTGGATTTGGACAGAGGCCCAAGGTGGATTTCGAGGATACAACAGGGGTTTCCTTCTGGAAGCGCGCAGGGTTGCAAGCTTGTGCTTCAGTGAAGATGGGTCCACTTGTGGCGAAACACCCGTTGTTTCAGGCTGCTTGTTTCAGCCGGCAACCCCGACGATAGGATGTGCGCCTCTACGGCAGCGTCTTTCCAGGACGGGGCTTCTCTGGAGCTGACCGTTTTCAGTTGCCACAGGTCTTCATTGGTAAGTCATCCTTGCGCTGGCGCTTGGTTTCGTTGGGGTTACTTTCAGTCGTGCAAGAAGGCACCGACAGAACTGGATTGCTTTTGTTGAGTTTACTGCCCACACAAGATGGGCGTGCTGGATGTTTCCATTTTTTGACAGCAGGATGCGAACAGAGAAGAGTCCAGATTCAGCGGCATGGAGCTTAGGTCTTTGATAGTTGAGGGGAGCCACTCTGTGGGCAGAAAGTACCTCTGCAGGACCTGAGCTGGGACAACAGTGGTTTGGCGATTTCCTCGTCGCCTTTCCAGATGACACGCCCATTGCGAAGGCTTGGGTGCTGCAGAAAGAACAAATGTGCGCAATGTTCGAGCCTGTTCGAGTCTGTCGGGCTTTCGCAATTGTCTGTCAGGGGGTCGAACCGTCCCCGACCAAACGGATCGCCTTCGCGGCCTTCGCGGCCTCGAACCGCAGGTGCGGATCAGGGCGGCCTCAAACCGCACCTCGCCGGCGCGGCGCTGTGGCTCCCCGCGCTTCGAGGCGCTGGAGATCTACCTGGGCGGCCTGGCAAGGGGGAGCCTGGCCAGAGGGTGAAGGGCCGGGATGATATCTTCCAGTGGATGTTGCCCGTGGGAGGAGGTGCTCTGATGCTTTGGAGGCACATGGTCATTTAGATGTGACATTCAACGTACAAGCTTCAGATGCTGGGTTTGCTATCATGAAGCTGTGAAAAGTGTAGCGGCTCCTCCCCAACAAATGTGGTTTGCGAAAGCCAAGGCAAAGATACGATGCCGTTGAAGGCTTCTTGGTGGCACTTTTTGCATTCCTTTTCTGCTTGCTTGGCAACTGCTACAGGTGTTTGTCGTTTCGTATGGGTCACGAAGCTGGCTTCCGGCGCATCGGTCAAATCCCGGGCTTGGGTCAATCCATCCCCAAATATGCAGATGGCTTCTGAGGGGCGCGCCGTTTGGCCCAAAGAAGGCAGCCCCTGACATTTGTTTGCTGCCATGCCGTGCTGGAAAGCGTCCTTCTGAGCACTGTTGTGATCCTCGATATACTTCGGGATCAGGACATGCGGCATTTGGAATACACCGCTGGCAAGTCGATCCGCTTCGAGATCAACTGCCGAAATCAGGCAGATACCAGCGCTTGGTTGGAACCGTCGCAATCTTACAACATGTTTTCAACGGAGGTCGTCTATCATTGATTGATAGCGTTTAGAATTGTTTTTCTTCAAGCTTTCTGGTTTGTGGCAAGTTTTGGTTTGCATGCATCTATATGATTTGCATGCATTAATTGGGCGCTCTTTCCGGCAATCTTGCAGGAAGGGTCGTTCAAACTGATAGATTGCTGACAGCTGTTGTTGCTAAGCTCCGTTAAATGTGACACACCGAATCCGAATGCTGATTGAGAAGCCAAGTGAAGCTTGGTGTTGGAGCACTCGCATCCAATATTTTTCCACCTGTGATATTTACAACAATGTGCCCCAGGCCGCGCGGACGGAGTACATGTACTTTGAAACCCCGCCCCTTGGCTTTGTGCTTGCTTTGGCGAGAAAAGGCGGCCCTTTTCGAATGTCGGACATGTCTTGTGCAAATGTACTAGGGTTTTTACTGCTCGGCACCTCTCTTGAATGTATTCTACAGTTCGCTAAGATCACCCAAATGGCTTCGGCGAAAAGAATGGGATGTCCTGAGCCGTGTTTTGTTGGGCGCGACCACTTTTGGCTTCTGACTCCTTGTGATTCAAACCGAAAGACAAACATCAATCCTCGACCAACCAACAAAGTTTAACCTGACAAAGGAAGTGTTTGGCTCTTACCCACGTACAAGACTGAAAACCTAAAAGAACCTCGAACACTCAGAAACACGCACACACACAAAGACAAAAACAACAAAGCAAATAATATAGAATCTTCTAGTATAGGTGATCGGTTATTCCAAGAATTTCCACTGCCAAACTCTTTGACATTCATTATTATTTCCGTTGTGACTTGCCCTTGCTGGCTGCCAGCGTTGCTGGCTCTTTATAGGGTATGCCAATAGTTTATTTGTCTCCTGCTTGCACTCTTTTTTCAAAAGGGATTTCGCTTTCAAAGGAGCTTGGCGACCATTTGATTTGATTTTAAATGACACTTAGTCAGGACACAATTCAGTTATATTGTCTCGAGCTAAAGCTTCAATAGGGTATCCTCTCTAAATATGTCTTTGAAGCTTAACTCTATTTTGAAGGGAGCTTGATACAGCAAGAACGTATTGTTTCTTTCAATTGGCCTGCCACTTAAAAAGAAAGAAACAAAAAGAGTTAAGCACCAATTAATAAACCTACTTCACCATGCCGTATGAGTTCTGTTAATCTGACATATGGCCTTGTTGAAGTATACGTAAATGCGAAGTAAAGTTTAGTTCGAAGCATATTGGCAAAACAGTTCCTATTTAAATCCTCACTTAAACAGAACCACACGCCACTCACAGCACCCTCCTCTCTAGACGAGTTGTGTAAATTAACACATACTTTGGCTACGACAGTTAGGAAGCATGCCGAAGCACGCAGGTCTCTGGTTTTCGTGATCACTTCCAGCCACGCTGGCGTGGAGTTCCCCGAGAATCCAGAGCTGCGTGGCCGAACTGCTGCACACCGGAGCCCCATTCTCTCGATTCACTTTCATGACGAGGCTTGCCAGAGAACATGTTTCAAGTTACTGACACCGATTCGGATCTGACACCGAGGGATGCTTGATAGCTCGAGACTAGTCGGGCTTTACACACACACACAGAGCCACTCCGCAAAGATGACTCGAGCTGACGTTGTGAGCCCCTGCCGCCCTTCTTTCTTGGCAACCTGGGACCGAGGCTGGCTTTCAAGTACATGCACTTGGACTGGATCTCAGCTTTCGAACAGGAAAGATGCAGGTTGCGCAGGTTTGAAGTTGGAAAGCGCCTTGCGCTCCAAGGCGAGAGGAGTTATCATTCCCTGAGTCCGACTGAGTCCCCTCCAAACCATCTTGGAATGTGCAAGAATCCCTTTGAGTCGCGGCCAAGGACTTCATCGTGATGGAGGCCATCCGCTCGCAGACCTTCTCAGGTGCCCGAAGAGGGAACATGGGGCTTGGGCTGTCCCTGAGTTGGCTGGTTTGGCCATTGGGACGTTTAATCCAACAGCTTTCCGTATGAAGCTAGACTGGTTGCTGGTCAGCCAAGCGGTTCGGCCGCAACAGCCCGCGCCAGGCATCCTCCCAGAGATTTGGGACGTCCGGCCTCGGTCGCCCTTCGTTTCAGCAATGCCCCTTGGCCTCGGGGGGGGGGGGGGCAGGCGGGAACGTTCGCACAACGCCCATGTTGTCCAAAATATCACAAGCGGACGTTTGGGCTTCACCTTTGGATGGACGAACTTGCAATCGCACGTCGCTGCTGCAACACGACTTGCCAAACATTGCGAACTTTGCTCAAGGTATTCAGTTGTCCAAAGTTAAATTGGGCTTGGGGGTGGCTGGACGGCAAACTCACAATTTTCTCCAAAGAACCGCACATTCTGGCCATGGCTCACATGACCGAGGCTGCAGCCTCCAGAGCCGCCGGGGTGCTTAGAGGGTTGCGGGGTCGAGCGGGCACTGAGATTCGTGACCATTGTGGCCCTACGGTTTTGCTCGGTACGAGCAAAGTTTCATGTGCCCATCTTGCACAGTTAAGGGCACACTGTGAGAGACTTCGAAAAAATAGAGGAAAGTACAGACCTGCCCAGCCGACTCGAGGCCTATGGTGTGCGAGGCTGACAGCGCGATTTCGTGGGGTCCGTGATTTGACGAGATGTCTTTGAACATGTTGATCCCCCAAATTCCATGACTGGAAGGCAAGGGGGAGACTTGAGCGAACCACCTCACTGGGAGCCTGCATGGAAAGAAGTCACTTTGCAAGATTTGTTTTCGAAGCCCTGAACCACTTTCTTGCCGGCAGACACGATGCATTGTTTTGCGTATATGTGTTCGTTGAACGCTTGTGCATCGTTTTGGCATGGTATGCGGCTCGCGAGTTGGCTGCGGTTGTGGTCGCAGTCCTCCCGTGACGATGCTTCCCAGATGGGACGTGGCTGTTTGCATGCCTTTTGATCTTGTCCACAGCGTCTGACGTATCATTTTTGCCAAGGAACATCGCCGGAAAAAGGCACATTGGCATGTTTCGGGCGAATCAAAGCAGTGTGTGGGTGCTGACCTTTTGTCCTTCAAGTCCATTTGCTGGCTGAGAAGCAAATTAACAGCCCCGCAGCCTGCGCTCAAGGCTGACAGCTGTGCCGGCACAGGCTGACTGGCTCACGCCTGAGTTACGCATGGTAGAGAGCGCAGATCTTGGAATGCACAAAGCAGCAGTTGGTGGGTAAATGGCATCATCCAAGAAGCAAAAGAGCCCAAATTGCGATGACATGCTTTTCACTGAAGGAGGCTTTCCCGTCAGGAGTCACTTTTATTTCATGAACTTGTGCTGTTTCTGTGATGGCAAGTTCTTTGCCTGGTGGAAGAGGACAATCAGACCATTCCAATGCTGCGCTCGGAGTGCGAGCTTGATGCTCAAGCTGTACACAGTTCTGTCTGCTTGGAGCAGGATCTTTTGCAGCAGCTTGCTTGGTCTTGGACATCATGCTCCAGCAGATGACGCCGAGCGCTGGCCCAGCATGCGGTTTCACCTGGCCAAACGCAGCCACAATTTCGCATGGCCTCGTCGCCCGTGTCACCGAGGAAATAATTGTGTTGCACCTGCCAAGAGAACTCAACTTGTAGCACAACCTTTGCAAAGAGTAGAAGCACTGAAGGATGCTTGCATGGTCAAGCTTGAGGTAAGTTGGCCAAACACATTTGCAACGCCACCAATTTTCGCCCATTCTCTTGCTTGTGATGTTGAGGCACCCATCCGCAGCCGAGCTGCAGGTCAGCTTCTCGGCTGGACATGCGGTAGCCACATTTCCTCATGGCGCGCGGCGCCGCGCGCGTAGCGCTGCTGGCGCCGCTTGGACTTGGGAAGAACATCCGACCACTGGTGTGGCACCCGGGGGATCCACTGGTGTGGCTTCACGAGGTTTTGTGGGCTTGCATGGCTTGCTTCTTTCTGGCTCGGCGTTGCTCCCTCCAGAGAACTCATTTGCATTGAATTCCCTATCTTCCAACACACTACCGCGTTGCGGCGTTTTTAAACCGAGCAAGAAACAAATCACCCTCAAACTGAAGGAGGCAGGTTCACCCTGGCGGGTTTGTCAAAACTGACCAACGTGCTTCACTCGAAATTGTGTTTGTGTCCTTTGGCGCCAATCGTTGCTTGCAGTGTCGCTTTCTGGTTCACTGCGTGGCGATGGGTTCAAAGCGAACAGCAAATTGAGTGTGGAGCTTTTAGTGTTAAGGTAGAAGGCCTCAGGCGGGCGTACAGGGTTCCATGCCATGTGTTTTCGGCTTTGAGCGTTAGTGCTCGTGGTATTGAGGGTTGTAGGATTGGAACTTCAGGGTTTCGGTGAAGTGTGCGAGAGTCTCTAGGCACTGAAAAGGGCTTTGCGCAGGTCCGCGCTTCACGGTCAAGGGGTCTCCACATAGGGTCACCATTTCGTCAATGCCCACCTGGCACTCCACAGTCTCTTTGGACAATTCAGCTTGACGCTTGGATGCAAAGAAGAAGACAAGAGCAACCCAACGTGTTGGCCCTCATACACAGACCCGAGGCTTGCGGTGCGAAAAAAAGGTCTGATGCACCGTGCAAGGTGCCTCCTTCACGTCGGCCTTGCCGGATGGGTGTTCGGCGAAGAGAGTGGCTAGGCAAGCACTAGGAAGGAGTGGATTCGGCAGCCGCATCCTGCTGGGCTGTGGAGCCAACTATACGGATACAGATGTACTTTGTTTTTGTACAATCAGCACTGCAGGCAGTGTGAATATACTACAGTTGACTTGCTATTCTAGAGATCATGCGGCTTGGCGAGATTCAATACATTACCACTTTCTTAGCCAAGAATAATGGCGTGATTGTCATGGAGTCAAATAATGTGCCAGATCAACCCCACAAAGCCAGAAGTGAAGACCATTAGGACAAAACCTGAACAAGGTTGGACAGCCATACAATTTGCAAGTCCATGCGCGCTTCCTTTGTTCTGCCTTAGCGATGCTGGTGATGGATGAGAGACGCATGTTGTTGTTGTTGTTGTTGTTGTTGTTGTTGTTGTTGTTGTTGTTGTTGTTGTTGTTGTTGTTGTTGTTGTTGTTGTTGTTGTTGTTGTTGTTGTTGTTGTTGTTGTTGTTGTTGTTGTTGTTGTTGTTGTTGTTGTTGTTGTTGTTGTTGTTGTTGTTGTTGTTGTTGTTGTTGTTGTTGTTGTTGTTGTTGTTGTTGTTGTTGTTGTTGTTGTTGTTGTTGTTGTTGTTGTTGTTGTTGTTGTTGTTGTTGTTGTTGTTGTTGTTGTTGTTGTTGTTGTTGTTGTTGTTGTTGTTGTTGTTGTTGTTGTTGTTGTTGTTGTTGTTGTTGTTGTTGTTGTTGTTGTTGTTGTTGTTGTTGTTGTTGTTGTTGTTGTTGTTGTTGTTGTTGTTGTTGTTGTTGTTGTTGTTGTTGTTGTTGTTGTTGTTGTTGTTGTTGTTGTTGTTGTTGTTGTTGTTGTTGTTGTTGTTGTTTGTTGTTGTTGTTGTTGTTGTTGTTGTTGTTGTTGTTGTTGTTGTTGTTGTTGTTGTTGTTGTTGTTGTTGTTGTTGTTTGTTGTTGGTGTTTGTTTGTTGTTGTTGTTGTTGTTGTTGTTGTTGTTGTTGTTGTTGTTGTTGTTGTTGTTGTTTGTTGTTGTTGTTGTTGTTGTTGTTGTTGTTGTTGTTGTTGTTGATTGTTGTTGTTGTTGTTGTTGTTGTTGTTGTTGTTGTTGTTGTTGTTGTTGTTGTTGTTGTTGTTGTTGTTGTTGTTGTTGTTGTGGTTGTTGGTTGTTGGTTGTTGGTTGTTGGTTGTTGGTTGTTGGTTGTTGGTTGTTGGTTGTTGGTTGTTGGTTGTTGGTTGTTGCTGCTGCTGCTGCTGCTGTCGTGGTTGTCGTGGTTGTCGTCGTCGTCGTTGTCGTTGTCGTTGTCGTCGTTGTCGTGGTCGCTGTCGTTGTTGTCGCTCGTTGTCGTTGTCGTTGTCGTTGTCGTTGTGAAGTTGTCGTTGCCGTTGCCGTTGCCGTTGCCGTTGCCGTTGCCGTTGCAGTTGCCGTTGCCGTTGCTGTTGCTGTTGCTGTTGCTGTTGCTGTTGTTGTTGCCGTCGGATAGCTTGATTTTTTTGAAATAGAGCTGGGGTTGAGGGAAAGTTAGTGGAGGTGCTAGTTGTAGTCTTTGTTTTGCTTGGTTTTTCCAAACTGATCAGATTTAGTGAGTGGCAAGCAACTCAATCCTGCCGCTCCGAGACACAACCTGCGATGAAGCCTGCACTGGAGCGGGCCTGACGTGCTCTGCAGTCGGCAACCAGCAGGTGAACTCGGACTTCGAGTTCGATCATGTGACTCTGCAAGAAAGAAGTTGTTAAGCCGCTACACATGACATCGGGAAATAAAGGGGATGACCAAATCAAAGAGATGGATTTGTGCCATCTACTTTTACCCGCCTGTAAGCGAGAGTTTGTTGATGTTGACTCGCTGATTGTCCCCCGAATATCATCAGGGCTCAACATTCCAGCGCCCGTGCACAGGCATGAGTCGCTTGCTACCGAAGTCTTTCATGCAATATCCAAAGTTTGAATATTGAACCTCAGCATGCATCGCAGGGCCTGTCAGCCTATTGTAGCTTGAATACTTGCACACTGATTGCTAAAACCGTCTCGCATCGACGAGCTTCTCTTGCCTCAGCAGCCATCGCTCATGTGAGAGGGCTTCTGGACGAGAGTGATTGCGCTCAGGTGACGGCGAACAATGGAATGCCTTCATGCCAAGGCTACATTGAAAACCAGCCACTCCACCTGACCAGGGGGGACTTGCTGCAAGTCAATGCGCTTGTTGTATAGACATGTTTGAACATTCGATACCATCAAGTTTTGCACTTGCCTGCTTTGACAAGATGGTGTTCAAATTAGAACGTTTTTTTGTCCAAGTAAAGGGAGAAAGTGGCTGTCCTGCAAGCGGTGTCGGCTTTGCTCACAGTTCGCTATTCACAAATTTCCGGCACTGCTATTTTGCGTAGCTTGCCTGAGAGACAAGGCTGGAAGCAACAAGCGGTGAACCGAAGGGACTTGTAGGTGTTCCTATCGCATGGCGCGGAAACCGCAGCTGAGGGACTTGGCGAACGTGCAGCCTGCGATGATTTACCAAACGGGCGGCTGGGCGTAACACGAGCATGCACAGCATGGTCTTTGGCTCGGCAAGACGGCTGGCATTGGAGGGAACCATTTTTTTAGCCTGATTGAGAAAGCTTCAGGTATTGCATGAGGTGCAGCTTTCTCTGAGATCAGGGTCAGAAGGGGTCAACATTTGCATGGAACCCTCACCGTCTACGGTGAACGCTTGCTGGCTTGCTCGCCTTTTCGAACCCAACACTTTTCTTTGCTCATGGGTGATTCCTCGGAAGAACACCTCATCTGTGCTTGCTTTATGCCTGCCGGTGACTCTCTTTTTTTGCCTTTTTGGCACCCCCCCGTCCCCCCCTTTGCTCCCCCGTCTTTTGCTCCCTCCCAAAGCTCCCCCCTCCCGACCCCCCTCCCGACCGCGAGAGTCGGTGGCTGCCGACGCGCATCGCAGGTATCATCGACCCCGGGATCTGCCTCACGAACTCGGCCCTGAGCGACTGCACGAGCAAGAGCCCGGCGGCCCAGCGGAGGGAGACGTATGGCGCTCAGCGGCGTGAGCATCTTGTTGGGGGGGGTTCTTAAGGCCGTTTTTCTCTTCTTCTTTTTCTTTTCCGGGGTCTCCCTTTAGATCACAAGAACTTTTACTAGGGTGGTTTTGAGGACAGTATCACTTCAATGACCCGGTAGTGGTGTGGCGTTCACTGTGCCTGAATGTATTTTGGGAGCTGCACTCTTTTGGAGCCCGGTGTTTGCATCCAGACGCTAGTTGTACAGCTGACCTGCCATATTGAAGAGCTTTTCTACCTCACAGAATACGTGCTTGCGAAACCCTTTCAGAGCGCTGTCCATGACTTCACTTGCAGCGAGTGGATTTACTTCCACTGTTGAGGATACTTGTCTGAAAGTACGACAGAATTGGCAAGAGACGTGAGGCATAGACCCTGAGCTGAACCGAACCTTTCATGAAGCTTGTTTTAGACGCGAGGTCATGAAGGGCAAGAGGTGCTTCCTAAACGTTTCGCAGCATGGCGACACCGTCTTGACGGACGCAAAACATGATATTCTAGCTATTCTTCACACCGAACCTTGGCATGGCGACACCGTCTTGACAGACGCACAAAATGATATTGTAGCTATTCTTCACACCGAACCTTGCAGTTGCCGGCTAGTTCCTTCGTTTTGGCTTGCAAGCTTGCGCTGCCGCAGATGACATCCTCCGTCGTATCTGCTGCTGCCTGCAGGAGTGGGATTGTTGTCGACCTCGAATGCACATGGGGGATGGGCGAGAGGCTACTATCCGGCCCTTGTTCGATTGGTGATGCCTTCGTCATTTGGATCCCTTGCCGCAAATGAGCAAGGACATCGTGACAAGCCCTGTGTGTGCCAATGATTGGTGCCTGCTTGATGAATTAAGATTCCATCGGGGCGAAGCGAAGCGTTTTCAGGAAACAGCCTTTCCCTGCAAAGCCTTAAATGGGCGTTTGGCTCAGCTGGCTTGGCCTATCCGTCAGGTTGGCCAGACAGACGCGGACATCGCCGCAGAGTGCTTTGCGCCTCGGAAGCGGGAGCACAAGTGGATCTGAAGTCAGTGCTAGGAAGGTTTTCCTGCAGAGTTGCTAGTTCCTCCGGTCAAGGGGATCTATTTCTATCTGACCCACACACGAAGCACAATTCGATATTTTCGGGATCCGTATCAAAGCCACGGCTGCCTGACCCTTTTACACACATTTTGACCGCATACGGCTGCGTTTTTAGACTTGACGCTCTTGCCTGTTGGCAGCTCCATGTTAGCAATTGGCAAGAGGATGCTGCCCAGGTGCCCACCACCACCACCTCCACGCAAACCACATCCACGCAAACCACGGTCACCACGCTGACGTCGACGACAACTGAAACACTGACAGGGACGACGCAGACTGCGCCATGTGGCTGCACATTGTAGTTTTCATCGCGTGGCTGAGGGGAAAACACGTTCGCTAGAATGGAGGCTGTGAGGAATGCCTCGGGCGCTCCAGAAGTTTTCTTTTCTTTTTGCAGGCTTGCCAGCTGTGCCAGTCTTGGGAACAGCACGTGGCGGCACTTTGTAAGCGGCTTTTGCTCGGTTGCAGCTGAGGACGACGTCCACTACTGCCTCCCGGCAGAAGAGTTCTGCGCCGTTCGCCCATGGAAATAGACAATCAGGTGGAAGTTGGTCCATGGCTCCGATGCCTGCATTTCATGCTCAGCTTTGTGGAGCTTGAGGCCCCCAATTGTAAGAGGCGAACAGGTGCTTGCAAGCGCAGGCTTCGCTCAGAGCAGCTTGAAGCGGTTCTGCGAACATGGTGTGTTTGGTCGCTTACTGACAAGTCTTAGCTCAGGGCACGACGATTACTAGCACAAGCACCAGCGTCACGGGCACGACGACTACCTACACCGCGGCCTGGCAGGGTATCCTCAGCATGTGCGGGCTTTCGGTGCTGGCACACGCTGCTGGCACGCTCTCTGAGAAACCACCTGGACAGAATGCAGCACCAGGAGATGCCCTGCGGTAAGCGGAGCATTGAACGAGACGTAGCAATTTCGGAAGTGTAGCTTTCCCCAGTGCCTGGGCCAAAACAGCTTTGCCTGCACAACCCGCTTTACACTTCAGTCATGTGCTTCCTGCAGGCAGCTTAGCAGAGGTTTGATGCTGGATGCTTAAGCCCACGGGGGAGGAATGCCCGCAAGGCTTCAGCTCTTTGGGGCTTTGGGATGAAGCTCTTGGAGTCTGGCCCCTCCAGTTCTCACCAGCCAAGTGTAGCTTGGTTACATGTTCGCTTCTGACTGAACCAGCTACTTTCTGCATCCTCAAACATGGCCCTTCGGGCTTCGGGACTTCGGGGGCGCAGATAGTGAGACGTGTGACGTCAGGTTACTGGCACGACCGTGACGAGCAGCAGCACAGTTTCAAGCAGCACCACTGCCACCGTGAGCTCTACACAGACCACCACCAGCAGCTCAAGGACGACAGCTACTTTGGCTGCATCAGGTGTCAAGGTAGATCTCTTCGAAGCCTCCCGATTTCATCATGTTGATACACATCCGGAAGACAACCTGGCATCTCATTTTTGTACCCTTGTTAGGGTTGTCCTCAACGAAGGTTGAGGGGGACAGCTCAAGAAGAGGCCACCCAATGAGTACAGGACCGGTGTGAGTCAAGATCACTGTTTGGAGACCCAAACGACATCAACGATTGAGACCAGCTCCAAGAAAGCCTGGGTAAACGAGAACGCAGGCCAGTACGGGACCTCCCAGACTACCAGGTCTCAAGGATAGTTATCCTTGCAGATCCTACGCCGTGAGGTCAGCTCCACCTCCTTCACCTCAACCTCGTCCGCCACCTTCACGGGCACGCAGACCACAAGGACCACCTCCACAGGCACAACCATCACCCAGACGATCACCAGCTCCAGCTCCAGCTCCAGCAGCACTTCCACACGCACCACCACCACCACCCGCAGCAGCACCACTGAAAGCAGCACCACTGAAAGCACCACTACGGAGACCATCACCAGCGCCTTGGCATGGCCAGACGGCCGAAAGAGCAAACATGCAGGTTGGATGGTTTTGATATTTTGGCGCTGGGCTTACCAGCAGTGGCCATTCGGTTCCGGGGTTGCGTTGATTCTTTGCTCAAGGCACATGGACCGTCACACAGACCATCACCACAACCACAGCCGTGAGCCTAGGGATTCCGCAGCCTCAGAGTGGCGCGTTGTGCCAACTAGGCCAAGGCTTGAAGTCAAGGGAGACCGGGTTCGTGGGGTTGGAAAGTGGGGTGCAAGGTGTTTGTCTCCGCTTTTCACATTGTATCTCAGCTCTGAGGTCACTCAGGGTGCCAGGACGTTGATTGCGGCAATTGTGCCGAGCAGCCCAGGGGCTGTGAGTCGCCAGGTGGGACCATGTCGAATGGGGACCACAGGAATTGTGGTGTGAGCCGACCTGAAAAGGGGCACCCCTGAAAACAGACAGATACGAGAGAGAGGCCCATTGGGAATCCTGCGAAGAAACATATGAAACAGGCCAGCGTGGCACTGCTTGCGTCACGCTGAGTTGAGGGGTCTGCGATTGAGATGAGTCTAGCCCACTTTGCTGATATATGCCATAGTCAAGGATGCCTTTGTTTCATGCGGCCGAAACGGATAGTCAAGCTCCTGTCACGCGGGTGTTATTTTCAGGCAGCCGTTTCAAGGCAAGGGATATGATTATGGCCAACGCAGACATGTTTCAAGAGGCCAGATAAATACACGGCTTCCCTCTTATCGCGCGTAACCGGCTCTTGTGAACGCTCGACAGTTGGTTTGCGTGGAGGGAAACAGTTGGACAGGGATGGGTGGTGCAACGCGAAACAACTACTTGATTCAGGTTTGATGCCGGAAATGGGGCGCTTGCTTTCCCTATTGGCGCCTTTGCCTTTGCAGCTGGTCCTTAATTTGTGTTTGTTTTGGCATGTGTGTTTCGCACTTTGACACTCTATCGGTTTTCTCAAAGGTTGATTCCAGTCATTGCTCGCTAAATGGATCACCAGAAAACCCCACGATTGCAATGCCCATTTGTGAGATTCAAAAAGGACATCATCGTTTTTTGCGGCATGTGAGAACAAATCCTTTGTGCCAAGCTTTTGGCTGCTCGGTGGCAGACATGCGCAGCGCACTATTCCGAGGCCGGCTGGCACGTCAGAGATTCCCGTGTTGACCCGCACGGGCTTCTCCGAAGGCGTGGGGTGGGCGACTTGACAGGCTTTTTGGCATTTGTGACCCGTGTGCAAAAGAACCCGGCACTTCCGCCATTTTCAGCGGCACTTCTTGTTGTCATGGGCGGCAGAAGAGCGAGTCTCTGATAGCGGCTTGGCGTCTCGCTGCAATTCTTGCATATCCGCATGGCGGCAGTCTTCGTCGGAACCCACCGGAAGCTGACGATCCTGGTTGCCTGTATGTAGAGGAATGTCCACACTGTTCATTGAAGAGGCCCTGGGAAGGTCCATTGACGCTCGGCTGTTGGAGCTGCAAGTCAAACTTGCCGCCAGCAAGTTCAGCCAGATTCCAGCCAGGCGACATGATCCTCCTTGGCGGTCGCGAGGCAGCTGCGGCCTCAGAGAGAGGCTCTTAAAGGTCCTTCGATTTGGGCGCTCGTCTGTGAAAGCAACGAGCAAAAGTTGTGCTCATGCTAGCTTCCTTTGTGGTCGGGATGGTCTCAGGTGGAGATTCAGAACATCACGGACATCGATCCTGCCGCCCGTCGGCTGGAGGCGGTGAGTTTGCAGGCTTCTGAGGGCCCGTGATGGGCAAGCCTCCTTTTAGGTAACATGTCTTTTTGTTGCATTCATTCGCCAAGCATGGCTCTGCGAAGTGCCTGCCAAGAGCGTCATGTTAGGCTGAGCTCGGGGCGGGCAAAACACATGGCTGGCACCCTGTGCAGCGTCAAGCCATGCCGCTCCAAACGGCAGGAGTACTTCTCCGAGGACTCGGATGCCTCTGACAGGCCGCGGATACTATCAGCTGCCACGGCGATTTTTGAGGCCGGGACTTGAGAGGAGCAAACACTTTACCGCAAGGGTAGAGCCAAGGCAGTGGCGTTTGACAGCCCTTACATTCAACAAGCGAAGAATGGAAGGAAAGATTAATACACGAAGTGCGTTGGTCTTGATGAGGTAACTCCACCGGTGTCGCGGCAATACAACCCCGGGGAAGCCGTCTCGAATGTGGGGCCAGCATCCTCCTATGCTGGTAGCAGCTTGGCAGGCAACTTGCCAGTTCCCCCGCACGGCCAAAAGCCAGTTCCCTCGAATCCAAGCCAAGAGACCGCCAACTCGGTGGCTTTCCTTGGGTTTCGCTTTCAACCAACCTGAAGACGGTGCCCTCCAACATTGATTTGAGCAAGGATTTCGTTTCTTGCTCAGCGGGAGTGAAGGCTGCTTGCCCGGATGAGATCTAAATTACCTGGACACAGAACCCTGCCAGTGGTGGGAATTTTGCGGTACTTGTATCGGGAGATCACCGGTAAGGATGCACAATTATGGCATAACGTTGGTAGTGGTCTGTGCCTTTTGCCTCTTGGGTAGGCCAGCTAACAAGCCAAGCATGCGCGTTGAGTGTCGTGTTTCTCACTGCACGTGACCACGCAAAGGTGACCCCATCACCTTCTTTGGTATCCCGGCTGCAAGTGAAAGCGCCTCCTCAAAAGCTGTCCTTTCGCTTGGTCACTGAGGCGGACAGAAGTTCAAGTTCTGGCTGCCGCTGCACGAGGACGGATGTTCCGTTCGGAGTTATGGCAACGCAGGTTGTGGCCTCCGGTGTGACTCAGATCGGAAGCAGATTGCAGTCGCAGACCGGTCTCCATCGATGTCAGCTTGAGGTAGTTTTGATTCGGTCTGTCACAAACCCCACCCGGTTCGCAAAGCAGCACAAGGGATAGCAACGGCCGCCCAGGTTTGTTCCCAAGGATCTTGTCTTTTGCTTCTGCCCAGGAGCTGCTGATGCTCGAATCCCCGGAGCTGAAGATCTTTGGTCGCGTTTTTCCAGGAGGGTCTTTGCGCCTACAAGTCGCGGGTCGGGAGAGGATCTCTTGGGATTGCCGAGATCTACCTTTTCCCCTGAAAGATATGGCAACATTTTGGCAGGGCTGCTGTTGGGAGTCGTTTTTTGACCGAGCTTCACAGGGTGCACATTGCAGAGAGCTGCAGGGTGTTGTTGCGAAGTGCTGCAGAGTCCTGTGCTTCTTATGGATATTTGACCCAGAACAGCGCAGGGTGCTGTTTCAGGGTCTGGACACATGTGTGACAAGGAATTTTGGCATGTGCTGTTGAAGGGTGCTGTTGAAGGGTGCTGTTGCAAGGTGCTGTTGCAAAGCGCTGTAGCAGGGTGCCGTGGCAGGCTGGTTTGCCGCCTAATTGGATTTCGTTCTTGCTATTTGGGGCCTATGCTGCTCGTTTGGGTTTTTGGATAGGAGCTTACGCTGCATACACAGGTCCAACAGCCTGACACAGTCCATTCAGAAGCAAAGTTCCGAGTTCCAGTCCCTTGTGGTGAGCAAGCAGACAGCAAGTGGAATGCGCCCTGAGTGCCTGAAAGTAAGGAATTTGTCACATGCCATGGCCCAAATGACCCATGAGCAGCGAAGCTGTTCATGAAGCCAGGCTGCGAATCTGACCTTGGCACTTGCTAGGCACTTGCTAGCCGCAGGAGTCCTTCCGGACCAGCAGTGGTTCGGCGACTTCAGGGTCGTCCTGGCCGACGACACGCCTGTGGTAAAAGCCGCTCGTTGGAGATGCCAAACGGAGACCTCTGCAGAGCCTAAGCTGCTGCAATGAAAGGCAGGCAAGGAACTGCAGACCCCCGTCGCTGGACCGGCATATTGCTTTTTCAACGATCGCGTAGACTGCAGTGGAACCAACCCCGTCACCAGAGTCCTCCAGAATGCGGTTCTGCTTGGGCCCCACCAGGGCTTTTGCTTAGCCGCTGTGGATGCAGGGTTGCCTCTAGGTTCAAGAAGCAGTGAGCCCGAGGTATCTCACTTTGTTGGAATACTGGAGGGGTTGCACTTCTCAAAAAGTGAATCTCAGACCAGGCCGTTGTTTGTGTTGCTTCCGTTTCATTATATACATTAGGTGGGCTGTGACGGTTGACGAAGGCAATTGGAGATTGGTCATCAAGTTCAGTGAGAAGTAAACTATATCAATGATGACGTGTTTGACCTTTTGGCGCGCAGGGCCTTTCTCAGGCTAGGGTGACTAGCTGAACTCATTGAACCAAGCCCAGGTCCGCGTCAAGGAGGCGGCCTCCAACCAAACCAGGCGCCTCAGATTCGCCAGGGTGCGGGTCGGTTGGGCCTTACCGATTCTGGTAACTAGGGCTGGTAGGGGCTGGTAGGATGCTTAGAGAGCTTTCATGGCGCCTGCATGGGTCTTTGCGCCTTTGCAACTTAGGCGCTGCTCGTCAAGGAGGATGGAGTCTATGGACATTGTCTTGGGTGTTCCTTTGCACGCTTTGCTGGGAGGGGAGTCCAGCACGACTCCAAGGAAGGGTTTCTGCAGAGAACAGGCGGAGGTGTGGAATGCATGTTCGGCAGATCTCACAGGGAGTGAGAAGTAGTTTGGCATCCCTTGTCAGAAGCATGGGGATGAGTCTAGCATGTGAACCGATAGCGACGGCAGATGTCTTCTTTGCAGCGTGTCAAGCTCAGGTCAATTGTTCAGTTTGCGTCGTGCCGGGTGTTTACGAAGTGCGCGCAGCAGGGTGCAGGTGCGGTAGTGCCTCACCGTGGCCCGTCGACGCCAGGCCGGCAGCGCCTCCCCCTGCGGGAGATGCAGCGTGGGGGGGCCCAGACACGCTTCCGGCTCCGCCTGCAGCCCGCTCCCAGTTGCGAAATTGTCGATTCATGAATCTAAGAGGAGTCGATCTTGGAATTCCAGAAACTACACAGGACCTCTTCGCTTTTTAGTGCTCTTTCGTTGCTTGGGGAGAGCTGGTTGAAAAGCAGCCCTACGAATACCTGAATTGACTCTGCGGCCTGTGAGTTTTCAAAGGATCCACGTCGCAGCAATTTTGGCAAACAAAAGATCAGAAGTAGTGCGTTCGTTGCTACCAAGATGGCCAAGTGCATTGCCGCCCTGTTGCTGTGCCTGCAAAAGGTGCAGTCGGTGGCAGACCCTTGCGCAGGTTTGTATGGTGCTGAGAGCCTGACCTGCGCCTGGGGGGAGGATGTGAAGACTTGCATGGCAGAGAGCTGCAAGGGCTGCAGTGGCGAGCAGTGCTCGCTTTGCCAGCAGGATGCATCCCGCATCGAGACTTGCTGCGAGCAGCACTGGCACTCGACCACTCCGCCTGAGATGTGCAAGAAGGAAGAGCCCACTCCCAGCAGCCCTTGCACTGGGCTTTATGGTGCTGAGAGCCTGACCTGCGCCTGGGGGGAGGATGTGAAGACTTGCATGGCAGAGAGCTGCAAGGGCTGCAGTGGCGAGCAGTGCTCGCTTTGCCAGCAGGATGCATCCCGCATTGAGACTTGCTGCGAGCAGCACTGGCACTCGACCACTCCTCCTGAGATGTGCCAGAAATCTGACCAGTCCAACGAGGAGCAGGTGAAGGCATGCGTGGAAGAGAAGTGCCGCGGTTGCGGGGGCGAGCAGTGCACTCTGTGCAAGCAGGATGCGCAAGCAGCATGCGAGGTATCCAGCATGAAGAGCCAACCAAAGAAGAAAGCCATGTTTGTATGGTGCGGAGGGCCTGACCTGTGCCTGGGGGGAGGATGTGAAGACTTGCATGGCAGAGAGCTGCAAGGGCTGCAGTGGCGAGCAGTGCTCGCTTTGCCAGCAGGATGCATCCCGCATCGAGACTTGCTGCGAGCAGCACTGGCACTCGACCACTCCGCCTGAGATGTGCAAGAAGGAAGAGCCCACTCCCAGCAGCCCCTGCGATGGGCTTTATGGTGCTGAGAGCCTGACCTGCGCCTGGGAGGATGTGAAGACTTGCATGGCAGGAGCTGCAAGGGCTGCGGTGGCGAGCAGTGCTCGCTTTGCCAGCAGGATGCATCCCGCATTGAGACTTGCTGCAGCAGCACTGGCACTCGACCACTCCTCCTGAGATGTGCCAGAAATCTGACCAGTCCAACGAGGAGCAGGTGAAGGCATGCGTGGAAGAGAAGTGCCGTGGTTGCGGGGGTGAACAGTGCGCACTGTGCAAGCAGGACGCGCAAGCAGCATGCGAGGTATCCAGCATGAAGAGCCAACCAAAGAAGAAAGCCATGGATGCATGCGCAGGTTTGTATGGTGCGGAGGGCCTGACCTGTGCCTGGGGGGAGGATGTGAAGACTTGCATGGCAGAGAGCTGCAAGGGCTGCAGTGGCGAGCAGTGCTCGCTTTGCCAGCAGGATGCATCCCGCATCGAGACTTGCTGCGAGCAGCACTGGCACTCGACCACTCCGCCTGAGATGTGCAAGAAGGAAGAGCCCACTCCCAGCAGCCCCTGCGATGGGCTTTACGGTGCTGAGAGCCTGACCTGCGCCTGGGGGGAGGATGTGAAGACTTGCATGGCAGAGAGCTGCAAAGGCTGCGGTGGCGAGCAGTGCTCGCTTTGCCAGCAGGATGCATCCCGCATTGAGACTTGCTGCGAGCAGCACTGGCACTCGACCACTCCTCCTGAGATGTGCCAGAAATCTGACCAGTCCAACGAGGAGCAGGTGAAGGCATGCGTGGAAGAGAAGTGCCGCGGTTGCGGGGGCGAGCAGTGCACTCTGTGCAAGCAGGACGCGCAAGCAGCATGCGAGGCATCCAACCTGAAAAGTTTGCCAATCTTCCCATAAGCGGAGATTTTGCAAGGAATCTTCTAGATTTTCTTTGCATGATTTGGAGCTGTCAAGGCACAGCTCAGTATTTAATGAATATTTGTACAGCTAGGTATGCGGTCAGGTCTAGTCAGCTACCAGTTCAATGCTTAGAAAGCTTCGGACAGCTTCAAGATACTGAGGCTGGTCTGCAAGCTTTTGCCGCTTAGCTTGGGCCCGTTGGCCATGGATTGCCAGTCGCAGTAGTGGCTATGTCAAAAGAGGGACAGATACATCCCAACCCAGTGCGTGACATAGCTGGCGTGATTCTTATGCCAGCTCAAACCACGGGGTTCTAGAATGCTACATTTGACATGATGTTTCGGTGAAGCAGCACCAACAGCACCAACAACACAACACCACCAGCACACGCAGCACCAAAACCAGTGCTCCAGCAGCAGCAGCTCGAGCAGCACCAGCAGCTTCAGCACCAGCACAAGCAGCACAAGCAGCACAAGCAGCACAAGCAGCACCAGCAGCACCAGCAGCACCAGCAGCGCCAGCAGCACCAGCAGCGCAAGCAGCGCAAGCAGCGCAAGCAGCACCGAAACCAGCAGCTCAAGCAGCAGCAGCTCAACTGGTGCCGCAGCACCAGAACCAGCAGCGCCAGAACCAGAACCAGCAGTGCCAGCACAAGCAGCAGCAGTACGACCAGCACCAGCACCAGCGCCAGCACCAGCACCACCGGCACCAGCAGCACGAGGAGCACCAGAACCAGCAGCGCCAGCACAAGCAGCAGCAGTAGGACCAGCACCAGCACCAGCGCCAGCACCAGCACCACCGGCACTAGCAGCGCTAGCACGGCGGTTAGACATATATGATTAAACCTCCATAATGTGGGTGAGGGTTATGGTTCGTCCAATCTTCATATTAGGGGGTTGATGACCAGCCCTACGGAAAGCTGAATTGACTCTGCGGCCTGTGAGTTTTCAAAGGATCCACGTCGCAGCAATCTTGGCAAACAAAAGATAAGAAGTAGTGTGTTGGTTGGTACCAAGATGGCGAAGAGCATTGCCGCCCTGTTGCTCTGCCTGCAAAAGATGCAGTCGGTGGCAGACCCTTGCGCAGGTTTGTATGGTGCGGAGGGCCTGACTTGCGCCTGGGGGGAGGATGTGAAGACTTGCATGGCAGAGAGCTGCAAGGGCTGCAGTGGCGAGCAGTGCTCGCTTTGCCAGCAGGATGCATCCCGCATCGAGACTTGCTGCGAGCAGCACTGGCACTCGACCACTCCTCCTGAGATGTGCAAGAAGCAAGAGCCCACTCCCAGCAGCCCCTGCGATGGGCTTTATGGTGCTGAGAGCCTGACCTGCGCCTGGGGGGAGGATGTGAAGACTTGCATGGCAGAGAGCTGCAAGGGCTGCAGTGGCGAGCAGTGCTCGCTTTGCCAGCAGGATGCATCCCGCATCGAGACTTGCTGCGAGCAGCACTGGCACTCGACCACTCCTCCTGAGATGTGCAAGAAGCAAGAGCCCACTCCCAGCAGCCCCTGCGATGGGCTTTATGGTGCTGAGAGCCTGACCTGCGCCTGGGGGGAGGATGTGAAGACTTGCATGGCAGAGAGCTGCAAAGGCTGCGGTGGCGAGCAGTGCTCGCTTTGCCAGCAGGATGCATCCCGCATTGAGACTTGCTGCGAGCAGCACTGGCAGCTCGACCACTCCTCCTGAGATGTGCCAGAAATCTGACCAGTCCAACGAGGAGCAGGTGAAGGCATGCGTGGAAGAGAAGTGCCGCGGTTGCGGGGGCGAGCAGTGCACTCTGTGCAAGCAGGACGCGCAAGCAGCATGCGAGGCATCCAGCATGAAGAGCCAACCAAAGAAGAAAGCCATGGATGCATGCGCAGGTTTGTATGGTGCGGAGGGTCTGACCTGTGCCTGGGGGGAGGATGTGAAGACTTGCATGGCAGAGAGCTGCAAGGGCTGCAGTGGCGAGCAGTGCTCGCTTTGCCAGCAGGATGCATCCCGCATCGAGACTTGCTGCGAGCAGCACTGGCACTCGACCACTCCGCCTGAGATGTGCAAGAAGGAAGAGCCCACTCCCAGCAGCCCCTGCGATGGGCTTTATGGTGCTGAGAGCCTGACCTGCGCCTGGGGGGAGGATGTGAAGACTTGCATGGCAGAGAGCTGCAAAGGCTGCGGTGGCGAGCAGTGCTCGCTTTGCCAGCAGGATGCATCCCGCATTGAGACTTGCTGCGAGCAGCACTGGCACTCGACCACTCCTCCTGAGATGTGCCAGAAATCTGACCAGTCCAACGAGGAGCAGGTGAAGGTATGCGTGGAAGAGAAGTGCCGCGGTTGCGGGGGTGAACAGTGCACTCTGTGCAAGCAGGACGCGCAAGCAGCATGCGAGGCATCCAGCATGAAGAGCCAACCAAAGAAGAAAGCCATGGATGCATGCGCAGGTTTGTATGGTGCGGAGGGCCTGACCTGTGCCTGGGGGGAGGATGTGAAGACTTGCATGGCAGAGAGCTGCAAGGGCTGCAGTGGCGAGCAGTGCTCGCTTTGCCAGCAGGATGCATCCCGCATCGAGACTTGCTGCGAGCAGCACTGGCACTCGACCACTCCTCCTGAGATGTGCAAGAAGGAAGAGCCCACTCCCAGCAGCCCCTGCGATGGGCTTTATGGTGCTGAGAGCCTGACCTGCGCCTGGGGGGAGGATGTGAAGACTTGCATGGCAGAGAGCTGCAAAGGCTGCGGTGGCGAGCAGTGCTCGCTTTGCCAGCAGGATGCATCTCGCATTGAGACTTGCTGCGAGCAGCACTGGCACTCGACCGCTCTTCCTGAGATGTGCCAGAAATCTGACCAGTCCAACGAGGAGCAGGTGAAGGCATGCGTGGAAGAGAAGTGCCGCGGTTGCGGGGGCGAGCAGTGCACTCTGTGCAAGCAGGACGCGCAAGCAGCATGCGAGGCATCCAGCATGAAGAGCCAACCAAAGAAGAAAGCCATGGATGCATGCGCAGGTTTGTATGGTGCGGAGGGCCTGACCTGTGCCTGGGGGGAGGATGTGAAGACTTGCATGGCAGAGAGCTGCAAGGGCTGCAGTGGCGAGCAGTGCTCGCTTTGCCAGCAGGATGCATCCCGCATCGAGACTTGCTGCGAGCAGCACTGGCACTCGACCACTCCGCCTGAGATGTGCAAGAAGGAAGAGCCCACTCCCAGCAGCCCCTGCGATGGGCTTTATGGTGCTGAGAGCCTGACCTGCGCCTGGGGGGAGGATGTGAAGACTTGCATGGCAGAGAGTTGCAAAGGCTGCGGTGGCGAGCAGTGCTCGCTTTGCCAGCAGGATGCATCCCGCATCGAGACTTGCTGCGAGCAGCACTGGCACTCGACCACTCCTCCTGAGATGTGCCAGAAATCTGACCAGTCCAACGAGGAGCAGGTGAAGGCATGCGTGGAAGAGAAGTGCCGCGGTTGCGGGGGTGAACAGTGCACTCTGTGCAAGCAGGACGCGCAAGCAGCATGCGAGGCATCCAACCTGAAAAGTTTGCCAATCTTCCCATAAGCGGAGATTTTGCAAGGAATCTTTCAGATTTTCTTTGCATGTTTTGGAGCTGTCAAGGCACAGCTCAGTATTTAATGAATATTTGTACAGCTAGGTATGCGGTCAGATCTAGTCAGCTACCAGTTCAATGCTTAGAAAGCTTCGGACAGCTTCAAGATACTGAGGCTGGTCTGTAAGCTTTTGCCGCTTAGCTTTTGCCCGTTGGCCATGGATTGCCAGTCGCAGTATGCTAGTGGCTGTGTCAAAAGGATTGCAGGGACAGATACATCCCAACCCAGTGCGTGACATAGCTGGCGTTCTTATGCCAGCTCAAAGCACGGGGTTCTAGAATGCGACATTTGACGTGATGTTTTTGTGCAGCCGGGCTTCGTTACCAGCCTCTGCTTGCGAACCCAAACTGAGCCCAGGCCGGCCGATGGAGTTCACCGCCGGCGAGGCGGTGCGCTTCGCGGTGAACTGCCGCCAGCAGGACGTTGGGGCCGGGAAGCGGGTTGATGCGGGTTGATGCGGGTTGATGCGGGTGTTCGGTCGCAAAGAGTTGCTTATGGGGAGATGCAGGCAGGGTGCTGAGCCCATCCTTTTGTGAAGCTAATTGGGACATGTCGATGCGCATGGTTTGAACCCTCAAAATTGCGCGGACATGCATGCTTGTTGCTACTCCACATTTGTTGTAGGTGCGATGGCGCACACGGCCGAATGATGGTACGGGCTGGCTGGAAGAAGTTGGCTGAGTTTGATATCAATGCCTGGGGCTCCCACTGGTTGGCTTGAGTGGCTTGTGGTTTCGTTTGATTCCGTTGTTCGTTACGCATTTGTTCATGGACCGGTGGGCACATTGGTTGCTTGACTTGCTGGCTAGACTTTTCGGTTGCGTCATTCGCGATTCCGCGCCTGTTCTCTGCTGGCTTCCACGGACAAGTGGGTGTGTGTTCTTTTGCTGGCCTTTTCCCCTTGGTTTAAAGGCAACCAAAATGAAAACCACACAATTGTTGGGCAGAAGCAGAATCCATCAATTGGCGCAGCAAGAGCTTTGCTCCAGGACCGGCCCCTCCTTGCATCGTCTAGAACAGAGTATCTCCACTTTGAAACCCCCTCGATTGATACTCGGCTGCAGTGACTGGGCGTGTTTTGCAAAGGCCACGTGCTTGCGCAGTCAACACAAAGATATTATGGGTTTGTCTGACCAAATGAGAGCCCCCTCAAAAACGACAGACAACCTCAATTTTGACATCAAAGAAGCCGATGCAGGCCATGATGCGAGTGCTTGCAGCTTTTGACAAATGGCGTGTGCTATGGTGCAGCTATTGTCCGAAAACCTACCCCCGTCGACTACAGTTGAAGCAGCAATATGAATAATATATCTATATACACACATTTTTTTTTAAATGTATACGTATATATATATACACACTGTAAGTACCAATATATATATATATATATATATATGTATACGTTTACAAGTTTCAGGTCATGGTAACTCCTGTGGGATGGCTCTGGGTGGGGTTGGGGGCGAGCATATATATATATATATATATACATAGGAGGAGAAGATTGGAAGGGGTAGCCATGACGAGAAGGGGGAGGCTTTGCGTGACCAGCTGGACTACTATTCGGGCTGTCATCTTAGCTTTGCTCCAATGCGGCTGTCCCACCAAATGAATATCCTTAGATGACAGCTCATGTTCACTATTTTTTAGCGTAGTTTTTGTTTTGTGAATCTCTGCTCCTGCTTGACGTAGTTGGGAACGGATAATTTTCCACCAACCCACAAACAATGGTCGTGGACCTGCAGGCAGCAGTGTGCCTTTTGTTTCGTGCAGAGGTCTTCCTCATTGTGGCCGCGCACGCCGGCAATGAGTTTCCTCATGATATGAGGCATCTTCCCAGTGGAGTTGGCAGTTGTCATCAAAGCACGTCAGAAAGGCAATCCACTCAACAATTTGGCCGAATGTATCCAGACAATCGGCGATTCAGCCATGCAACTTGAGTCTCTTTCCCCCGACTAAGTTGGCTTACATGGCTCCCCAAATTGCAAGGGAACCGTCGGATGTGTTCATTGCCTGCGCACGGGCTTGCAAACAGGATGTCGAGCCTTTTTTTGACTTGGCTCAACTGCAGGCTGCAGTTGAAGTACATGCACTTGGCACGGCGCCCAGCCGGGCAATGAGGCAGAGTTGAGGCTGGAATTCGGCAGAATCGACGTGACTGCCACAGGGGGCATGAATTTCTCCCAGGCTTTGTTTGGTGTGGTTGCTGAAAAACAGGGTTGAGTCTGTCTCGATTGAGGATCTTTTGATCCTGGAGATGCCGCGGAAGCATGAGTTCAGAGGCGGCTGTCAGATGCCTGTAGCTTGTGATGGCAGAAGGTCGAAAGTGCGTTGGCGCAGGCGTTCTTCCAGAGATCTGGGGCTTGCAACCTCGGTCAGAGGCAGTGCAAACCATGCCCTTTGGATGCACAACAGGAGGGAATCGAAGGGGACGGCACTTTTCAGAGTGAGCATAGCTCGGTCACAGGCTTGAGTTTGCCGATTGAGCCGTCAGGGGCAAAGGGAATATATTGCAGCTGAAGGCTGAATTTTGGGAAGAATGCTCCTTACTGCCCTTTCAGCAAGCAACCGTTTGTGTGCCCAAGGTTGACTCCGCCGGAGGTCGAGCCGAGGAGAGGGGGAGGGCCGCCACCATTCGAAATGTTCGCAATCATACCTTTTCTCGCGTCTCTTGCGAGGCTGGCTCCAACAGTGTGCCAAGATCGGCCACTTGGCTTCACCGTACACAGATGATGTGAGAGAGAAGCGTTTTCGTGTTTGGGAGAAGAGATCCTCGCACGAGCAGAGTTGAACAGCAATTTTGAGCAGGGCTTGTTTGGTACAGTTCATTAATGCCTGCTTGCGGGGGCTGGTTCCATCTCTGCTGGGCTGGTGAACAGGTTCATCAAATGTTTGCACCTTAAAAACAAAGGCAGGAGTTTTCGGCAAAATGAGCGTCTTATCCAAGGCCTGGTGCGGTTTGCATGAGCTGAGCCGGGCCGGGCAAGTGCTCTGCGGGCTGACTTGAGATCTTGAGATCCAGCGCTGAGTGGCACCACCTGTTTGGGTCCATTGGTGGGCTTGGGGTGGAGGTCTTCAAAGAGGTTGAGTTCAGAAGGTGTCGGTGAAACCAGCAATCCTCCATCGGACATGCCTTCATGAAGTGTGCCTTTGTAGGGGATGCAAGGCAATGCGTGGTG